ATCACGGAAAGGGAGAAAAGTGAAGTACAAATAGTGGCGGAGTGTTACGCGAGAACTACGGTGAACATAGCGACAGCTCTCGGATTCTTCTCGAGAATGTGTAGTCTGCAGTCACTGGAGAGGCTAGAGTCTGAACACCATTTAGTGACGGCGTTGAGCGTGGAATCATGGCCGGGAGTGTTGCAGGTGACTCAAAAACATATCCGGAGCTGGAAGGTTGGTCTCGAGGCGGAAATGGGGTTTCCCATGAGCGAAGCTTATGGCCTGCCATTGAACGCAAAATCCCTGATAGGGTCAATGATGGCCAATTTGTGCGGAAGCCACTACCCACTGCACATGGCGATGGTGGAAGCATCCAGCCAGAGAATATTGGTGGACAAGGCCTTCTCAGTGCCCAAGTGCGTGAGGTTGGCTCGGGTATCGCATCACTCGCACAAGTTGTTGAGGAAAATCAGAGGGACAGTACCGAAGGAGTTGAGAGATGACTTGAGTGAAATCTGGGGAGAAGAGCTTTTGAAGTTGGAAAGTGAGAACACAAGCGATCACGAGAGACAGAACGTGATCGGAAAACCTGTGGGGGGTACTCCAAACATGGGAGAGAACGACACGATGCATGAGAAAATGATGGAGCTTGAGCCTCTCTTGGAAGCCTCGGGAGAGCGTAACCTCAGGAGCATTGAGATCACCCATGGAGAATGCCCATGCCACTGTTTGGCACAAACGGTGTGGTATCCAGATCACAAGAACCTTTGCCTGGTGTGGGATATAGAAGAAATTCGGTCGATCGGACTACCGGACCACCGGCAGAAGGTGACGCTCTTAGTAGTGAGTACGATGCTGGCTCTGAGATGGATAGATGAGAATATAACGAAGTATCGGGAAGCGACGACGCCAACGGCTGAATCAATATATGCGATAGACTACAGCAGGAGACTCGAGTTGTTTGAGACTGCATGCAAAGTATTCGCCATACCAACGGAAGTCAGACACGTATGGAGCCGTTTGAGGTACTTTCCATGGTTTCGAGCGACACTGACGTCTTGGTTATACATGACAACGAAAGATCACATGAGAAAGCATCAAAAGGAATATCGACAATTCCAGGCCGAGATTGGGCCGGAAGCTTTCAAGAGACCCCTGTTAACCCATCGAAATGCGATCACGACAGGATGGAAGAGAGTGGGTAAAATGTCTAGAGACAATACCAAAGCGAGGGAATCAATACTAGAGGAAGACTTGGCGAAGAACGTGAGCTTGAGCCTGCACAACTCCTTTTGTTTGAACAGGGAATCTAGAGTGAAGGCACTACCCAACCAGGCAATGAGGTTGCAGGAGCAAAGAGAATGGATGCGATCCTACGAACAGCTGAAGACTTGGGAGGAGATCGTGATTCGCTCCGATGATGAAGAAGAACTGTTGAGACAGTTTACCGTATCTAGTACAATGGGGTGCGGCACCTTCAAGGCGAAGAGTGCGAGATGAGTGGATGGTTCGAATGGATCTTGAGTCTTGAGAGGGAAGGGGGCTTGAGTGTGGATCCGGGTGAAACCTGGGCTCACGAAAAAGAAATTTTATTGAATCAGATATTGTTATTAATATGCTATATCTATTATATAAATCAAAATGCTGCATGACAATTTCCTGATTGAATGGGACAAAAGAAATTTTAAATGATTGGCTTAAAAAGCGAGAATTCAAGGGTGCAGGTGTGTGCAGATTATGATTGCTGTTTAGCGATAGTGTGAAAATTTTACATGGCCGTATAAATAGGCCCTATAACCATTGGCTCAAGAGTCAGGGACACTATCTCTTGTGTTTTTCTACCTCAAATCAGTCGGAGCCAATTCGGTTCGCTTGTGACATGAGACCACGACCCGTTACAGCTTAAAGGCTACTACCAAAACATCCCCCCACTCTAGAAATAATAACGTCCCCATACTCAGGTCTCTAGATACCCAAAATACATGAACGCCGTTAAAAACCGGGTTGGAACAATCCGTTAAGTTACTTTTTATTAGACAGTGGAACTTTGATCCATTTCAGATGGATCAACCTAAAACTCGCCTTACCTCAACATAACAATTATAAAACACACTCTAGAAATTTAAATTAAGTACTCACATCGTAGCACACTCAAGAAAGGGAAGTACTTCAGTCGGTAATTAACTCGAGAATTAAATAACGTAACTAAATGAGTTTTAATGTTTCAATGACAAGGACAAGTTTTAACTCTAGGATGTAGTTTTATGTGGACCATTGGGACACTCAAGCTGTCCACCTTTCCACCGAAGGTTCACTCTGGTCCAGTTCGAATAGTTGACCAGTTGGATAATTGTCCAGTTCTCAGGAACACTCTGTCTTCTATTTCAAATAGGACAGCTCTACTCTGGATTATTATTGTCTCGGAAATTGCGAATGGCAAATCCCTTCTGATTTATCTTGCAACTTTCCCGCGATTGTCACTCGATTGTTCTGACTTCTCTTTTTTGACTTTCAGTTATCGCGAGAAAATTGTGCATGACAGGCTCCATTCGAATTTTGAAAAAATAAATTTCACTCCAAAATCAAGTGTTTTTCGCTTTTCTCAAGGTCAAACTTCCAAATATGACCCAGGAGCGCCATAAAAACACTATGTAACATTCGTCTACTGCAGTCACACATGAGGCTTAAGAAAAATAGGCCCTATAACCATTGGCTCAAGAGTCAGGGACACTATCTCTTGTGTTTTTCTACCC